AACCAATCAAATTAAATCTGCGACATCTGTGCGCTAGAAAGATCCCGAGATGGAGAAGGCATTGGTCAGTGGGCTGAAAATCCGCATAACAATACTGAATTTTCAGGGTCTGATCCCGCTCAAGCCTGTGGCAGTGCAGCACCGTTGTGCGAGCCCCCAGGAGGTCGTATTTAGGCTCGAGATTTTTTCTTGTTGTCTCCACCCCTATCATTTGGCCTTCTAGCGAAAAAACCCTTTCCTACCCTTGCTTGCATCGTCGCGGTTCACTAGCGGTATCCGGTAACTGACTAATAATGTTGCATGTGTAATGCAATAAAACTATAGAAGATGTAGCCGAACTGAGAGTACAACAGAACGGATCCGTGGTGCCATGGGTAGTCCCTGCCCTGTGAGGGTGATGTTCAGGTTCGAGCCCCAGCTACGGTCAAGTCCTATTCCAATAAAGCAGCATTCTATAGTAAAAGGCGAATAAATTGAAACTGACGGGGTGTGTTCATGACAAGCACTTTGTTTTCTGAAGCGGCCTCGACATCGATATTGTCCACACCGGTGCCAGCCCGTCCAACCAGCTTCAAGCGACCACCTGCTCCAACTTCGATCAGTTCCCTGGTGATCTGCAAGCGACTTCGATAAGCAGGGTATATGGATGCGACCAAATGTCCTAACTGAAACCAGAAAAAAAAGTTCAATACCAGTCTAGAAGGCATCAGATGAGTCATAAGACCTCGTGAAAAAGGACAAATTTGGCACTATTTACCATTTGCTGCCGTATTTTTCGAAATTCAGGCCTAATTTCAACCGAAAAATTTCTGCGAAAATAGATCTAGCCGAATACGTCTTTCCTTGAGTGTTGCTGCCCAGTGAACATAATATCTCATGGTTTCAGAAGGGAACGGATGGCATTCGCGGCAGAGGCGCCAGCTGCGCAGACACTAGGGCACTACCCCCGCTGGGAAATTTTGAGAAATACGACCCCCGAATTTCCTCCTCTGGTACGGCAAACTCCTCCTCCCATCCGTTCGCCATCCAGGTCTCCACTAAACCACGGCTGTTTTCAACTGTCGAAACCACGGAGAAAACCACGAAAAGTGAGCAACCGGATAAAGTTACCTCCCCCAGTGAAAAATTTTTGTTCAGAGCCAATTACCACCCTCTTCCCCTCAAAGCGAAGAGCAAATACGACCACCGACCAAGTAGGACCTTTGCATGGGGACTCTCCCACCTACGGCGTGTTCTGACGGATATTTTAGGCACAGTCGCGGGTGCCAAGCCATTACTAGCCAAACGTACACGATATTCGCAGGGAGTCAGGAATCCGTGATCAAAATTCTTCGAAATTTCCCCCGGAGCAAAATGTTCTGTCAAAAAATGACTTGGTTGTCGAAGAATGGAGCAGCAATAAACACCACACAGTATAAATTAAGCTCATTTCCTCCCCAATACGCCTTTTTTCCAAATGAATGGCAGCCCCCGTCAAGAAACCCTTGCAGTACGTCGTGCCCTAGCCTAATAAGAGAGCGGAATCTGCATGAAAAGTTCTCTGAAATTTCTGCTACGGACGTCTTTGGGGTTTCTTTTGAAATGGACTGCCTTAAGAAGCACACTACTCAAGTCCACTCTAATTTGCGTTCGCGATGGGGTCAATTTTTTAGGGCAAGGAAATAATTAGCAATTCATGAGCTGGGAGTTCCTTCCATGTACCTTGGTAGCACTGCGAACGATTACTGCATCATGAGCAGGGAGAGAGGTTTTCAACTCGTCTACTGTCTGCTTCGTCTTGACTGTTACCTAAATTCGAGTGGTAATTTACAAGGTGGGTGATCTGTTTGAGGTGCTAAAAATTACCTCAATACCGTTCGCTTGCAAAATGTCGATGCATTCCTTTTCGATATCGTCGGCGATCAACACTTTTGCGATCTGCATAGCGACTCTGGAAAAACACTGAAATCAATGAATCGAGAGTTTTTTAAGTTTGCTAGAAGTCGCTAGAAGGTCGCGGCTTAAGTGTATCAGAAAGAAATTAGCTCTTTTCTGACAAAATGGACATGATTCTGCACACGTCCAAGTTGTTATCTAACTGTTAACACCATGTGTGTCACGCGACCCAGAATGTGTTAACAACTTCAAGAGAAAGAGGCCACAGTCACGCGTGAAGTCACGCAAATTGCCGTTAGGCTGCGTTTATACTTTGCGGCAGCGTAGCGCGTAGCGTAGCGCTTCCAGCGTACGCCAGCGGCAGTGCCGGGGAGAGGATGGATATCCTAGCGCTCCCAGCGTCACCAGCGTAACGCTAGCGTACGCCAGCGTTTCTCCAGCGTTTCACCAGCGTTTTGCTGGCGTTTGCAGCGGCAGGGGAGTAGAGACTATGTGGCCGTCAGAGACGCAGAATCGATGTGTATGTAGAGACTATGTGGCCGTCAGAGACGCGGAATCGATGTGTATTGTAGAGACTGAGGGCGAGTGAGAGACGCGCAATCGATGTGTTTTGTACCCTCCAGCTCTCCCATAGTCTCTACTCCCCTGCCGCTGCAAACGCTAGCAAAACGCTGGTGAAACGCTGGAGAAACGCTGGCGTAACGCTAGCGTAGCGCTACGCTGGTGACGCTGGGAACGCTAGATCGATATGCATCCTCTCCCCGGCACTGCCGCTGGCGTACGCTGGAAGCGCTACGCTACGCTGCCGCAAAGTATAAACGCAGCCTAATGCTGTGAATAAGCAGCACCTTTACTTCATAGTAGACATGTCCCATGCGGGAAGGTGAATGAGTTGGGTAGAAGTATGCCATTTTCATTTAAACGAGCGCGGAAATGAGGCAGGGAGCACAGCGAAAGGTGGGTCGTTCCGGTCTACACCTAACGTCTAAAACGTGCTGCATGTGCATGAAGCCAAGGTCCCGCAGCGAACTGAACCCTCAAGCCGACCATGGCGGCTAAGTGAAGAAAACAACACTTCACCAACCCCACGAGAGAGGAGCAGACAAGAATTGCAGTTGGCTTGAATAGGCCTAGAGTTGGTAGTGGAGTGTTACGCGCTGCGTGCTTTCAGGTGGACCCCCAAATGGAATGCACTACCTCCGGCCTTATTTTCGGAAGCTTCCGAGGGCCATAACTGGGAAATTTCTATACCCGCAGACCTGTTCACTTATCATATAACTAGGATCTTCGGTGGTAACGTACAGCATGCCTTTAAGTTTAGAGAATGGATAAGATTGATGGCCATAGTGATAACTGGGTGTACCAACGGATATTGTCGTCCCAGGGATAAAATATTGTTGTAAATCAGGTCCTGGAACTGGCCCTCTTAGCTACCCCGTAGAAGAGAACTAAAGCACTCTAAAAAGCCAACCCTAAAGCAAAAATAATCCTCTTCACGTTTTCCTCACTCGAACCATATTTGCTTTCCCTTCTGCAGGTTACTCATTACCTTTTCACATAGAGGAACGCTGCTATTTACAACTGGTGGTGCGGGTGTGGCCTCGATGTTTATTGTGGGTGGCAAGAATTGCTGACAAATGAAGGATGATGGCAAGTGCTAGCAAGTTAGTGCTTGATTATGACTAAGTCACGGTTATTTATGATTATAATTATTATGACTATCTTCATGGGAACAGCGATTTCCGAAGAAACTGAAAACGCAAATAAATAATGGAAGGAGGAATTAAACTGAAATCGAACTAGTTTTGCAACAAGAGATGTCTCATTAAAGCTTGCT